AAAAAGGACTTTGGCAAATTGCAAAAAGGCTTTTGACATAAATCATTTTAAATTTTAAAAAATGGACTTTTGGTGTGAATTGTAAAAAGAATTGTAAAAAATAGACTTATGGTATGAATTGTAAAAAATGGTCTTTTGGCGAATTGTAAAAAATAGACTTTTGGCATGAATTGCAAAAAGATTTTTTGAATTGTAAAAAATGGTCTTTTGGCAAATTGTAAAAAAAAGACTTTTGACATTATCTTAACAGATCATTTAAATTGTAAAAATAAACTTTTGGTGTGAATTGTAAGAAAAGACTTTTGACATTATCCTAATAAATCATTTAAATTGTAAAAAATAGACTTTTTTGAATTGTAAAAAATGGTCTTTTGGTGAATTGTAAAAAATGGTCTTTTGGCAAATTGTAAAAAAAAGATTTTTGGAATTATCTTAACAGATCATTTAAAAAAAAAATAGACTTTTGGCGTGAATTGTAAAAAGATTTTTTGAATTGTAAAAAATGGTCTTTTGGCAAATTGTAAAAAAAGATTTTTGAAATTATCTTAATGGCATGGGATTATCTTACAATACAAGCAACCAGTGTTCCATCAGAATGTGCTTTCTCAGTTGCTGTAAATACAATCAGTAAGGTGCAGAATTGCTTATTGTCAGAAACTGCAAGAGCATGTTTGTGTATGAAGAGTTGGATAATCAATAAAGTAGGGGTTTAGAGTGCTAGAATATTCTTGAAATTACTTATATATTTTTTTCCTTATACTTTCTTTATGTTTATTTTTGTTTTTTTTGTAACACATTGTAATTCTATACTAATTACTAATAAAAAATCATTAATGTTTGTTTTATTTTATGCACTTTTTTTGTATATTTAATATCTATCATATTCATTCATTGTTTGTCCGTTTATTCGTTATTTACATAATAATAATAATAATAATAATAATAATAATAATATTTAATTTATTTGAATATTAATAAGTCACGTTATTCATATTAATCATTCCTTTTAAGGAAAGATTAACTCAGGATTTCCTCATATAGGTATAAATCACATGGGGAGTGGTTAGAACTCGGTTCTGGAACCGGTTTGCGGTTCTGTGTTTGGTTCAGTTCAGAACCACTCAGAACCGGTTCCCTAGTGGAACCACCCCATCCCTAGTCACAAGAAAAGGGCAAAGCACAGGGATTTACAGATGATACCTGTCCCTTGTTCTTAAATTTAGAAAAGGATAAGCATGGGACAGGTAATTTGTGATAAAACATAGAGAGGACAGGCGAAATCAAGAGACAGGTGTGGCAAATGTGACTGACCATAACTGTATTGAATTGTAAAATATTGAATTTAAAAAAATACTTTCAGCACTAAATCAACATTACAAAAAAATTAAAATCAATAATGCTGCCCTGATAATCTAATGAAGATTATCAGAAATTAGTGGATTGATAAAAATATCATTTATTATTTTTAATATATGATTTTAATTGGTTGAAAAAGTCATTTATTGTGCGAATTTTTTGTTTACAAACAACAATGTTAATGATAACTTTACCACTTGAGCTTTTAACGAAATATTTAAATACAATAAGGATGATTATAAAACATTGTATTCTTGCATTCTTGTCAATAAACAATGGCAAAATATTAATATTCCAATTTTATGGAGAGATCCATTTATTTTTAAAGACAGCACCAAAATAATAATTAATTGTTTATTAGAAGAAGATAAGGATTTCTTAACAAGAAATAGCATTAAATTGACTTTTGAGCTATTGGATAAGTCACCATTATATAATTATGCTAGATTTTCTACTATAATTTCTTTCCCCAGAGGTTATGATTCTCATTTGGTGGCAAAAGCTTCTGAATTAAATATTTTACAAAATAGATTAACAAATTTTGTTTTAGATCATTCAGCAATTATTAGAAGAATTTGATGCTCTTGATACATACCTTTATCAGTTAAATAATTTTCAGAACCTTAATAGATTAGAATGTATACTTGTTTATAGTAGTGAATTTACTGATAAATTAGCAAATGTATTCAAACATTATGAATATATGATAATGCATATAATAATCTGACTCAACTAGTTAAAGCACAAAATCAAATAAAGCATTTAACCATTTATCCATCCATTATTCAAGAAACTATTTTATAAGATAATTTCAAGGAGGCAATTCTCGCACATTCACAATCAATAATTTATTATTCAAGTACTGGTACAGATTATATGTTATTACCAGCACTTGGAAATTCAAAGACTTTATCATTATAATCAGAAATAAAATGTTTGAAAAATATTTCACTGCCAAATATTGAATCCATAAAGTTACATATTCCTTGTCAACCATTTCTATCAGACCTGTCTGATTTTATTAACATCAATGGAAAAACTCTTAAATATCTAGATGTTGATGGTCATCATCTACATGATAATGAATTTTTGAGGAAGTTATTTAAATCAATTGCACAATGGTGTAAAAATATAGTAAACTTATCATTATTTTATAATGATGAAGTAATCCAGGAGTTAACAAAAGTATTCAACAATTGTATTAAATTAGAAAGAATTATATTTAAAAAACTTTTTGCAGCTACATTAAATGGTGATAAAATACTTTTAGTATTAAATTAAACATTACCAAAAAAATTTAAAGTCAATAATGTTTCCTTGTGGATTTTCTATTATTAATGTCAATTCTTTGAATAACCTAATGAAGAATTGGAGAGGACCTAAACCTTTTATAATAAAGTTCAATGATTATCAGAAATTGGTGGATTGATAAAAAAAAATATCAAGTATATTATTATTTAATTTTAATTAGTTGGGACAAAATAAATTTTTTTTCTTTACAAAAAAAAAGTTAACAATGAATTTATCACTTGAGTTTTTAACTGAAGTATGTAAATACAACAAGGATGATTATGGGGGATTTCTAGAAAAAAACTGGTTATAAGTTTTTTTTACCAAAATTGACTTTTTTACATAGCATCAATCTGTAAAATTGAAACTATAACTGAAAAAATTTTAAATCATGTTCACTTAAATTCACCATATAGTAAGTATATCATTTTTTTTAGTAATGATTTTTTTTTTACAGATGATATCCTTAACAATACTTTGTATTTCATAAAAACCAATTTTCCTTGAAAAAAAATTTTTACTTTATTTTTTCTATATGTTCTTTACATTGTCTACCAAATCATCCCAAGGTAAATTTCATAATATAAAAAAGTCCTCCAAATCGTCCCACTATATACAGTAGGACAAAAATACTATAGAAATAGTCAAATAACTGATCTATAAACGTAATATATATATATATACATACATATTTATAAAAATGAACCAAATTCAGCCCAAGTATTTTAAACATAACTAACAACTTCTAGCTTCTTAATCTAATAGTTTTATTTTTTATTTTTAAATTACAATCAAATTATAAATGCAATCTGTGTCAACATTATGAAATTATATCTGGTTTTTGGAGCGTTACTATTACAAAAAATAGAAGAAGATGAAGAGGATGGATGAAATTTATTATGAAGCTGTATTTGTTCAAATATTTAACAAGCGTTGATAGGTGATATATATGTGTTTTTAAAGAAATAGCAAAGAAAATTTTAAATGAATGTTTGGGGTCAGAAGAATGAGCCATTAAATATTATTTGTGAGAATAATAAAACAATTTTCTTACATATTGTATATGTACACGATCAGAAGGTAGAGGAGATGTAGAAGGAAATAAAAATTGTAGATGGTAGAGGAAATGAGACAATATGCAATGCAATAAGTTAAACGTTATGTTTAAATAGATTTAGGTAACAATAATAATTTATAATATTCTTCTAATAAAAATTTTTCATCAAATTATACTACATAATTCTTGCTGATTACAATTAGGGTCTTCCTTTATTATTATAATAAGAATTAACAAACTATGCTTCGCGTCACAAACTATATGTCTTGTGTTCACGAATTATGTTTTGAATCACGAATTATTATTATGCCCCGCGTCATGAATTATTGCTTCAGAAGACCTTAGATTTCATATGATTATTACTTGGGGCGTTGATTAAATGCCAAGGTTTTTCTTTATTTACCATTCAACAAAAATTTATTAATTATAATTTGTTGTGCTGATTATAATAAAAAAACATATGCTAAATTAAAAATAAAACATACAGTATATTTTACATAATTGTTCGTTTTTAATAGTTATCCTAGTGAGTTTAGCTATTGCAGAAGGAATGTTATTGTTAACTGTTTGGGTCATGTGAGTTTATAGTGTCATTAATTTGAGATGATCAACTAGGGGAAATTTTTTTAAAAAATAAAATAAATCAGCGGTAATGCTAAATAAAGGTCTAATGCTAGCGTGTTACGAATTAATTAAATCTGCAGATGTAACACGAGCTCATTTAACTATTCGGAAAATTAATAATAAAATTTAAAAATAAAATAAATAACTAAAAATAAATAATAGATAACTAAAAATAATAAGTTAATAATATAAATAATATAGAATAATATGATATTATTCCGGATTTTCGGGGTTATTGATCAGCGAATTAAGGTAAATTCGCATTCCGATGACAAAAGCAAGCAACCGAAAAAGGCAACTTCTAATAATGTATATAAAAAAAAATTATATATGACATGAATGACAGTTCACAATTTCGTAACGGGATGTAAGTATGACAGGGTAGGCCAAGATTAATGCTATTGAACAGCGTTAATAAACTTGTTGGACAACAGCTTTACCAACAATTAGTGTCAAACAGCAATAAAATATACAAATGCATTATTTTATAAAACTAATAAAATAATTATAAACACTTGTAATGATAGAAAAAAATAGTTTCTTTCAACTTGTTAATAGCACTGGTTGAAGAAATTGTATTTATTTTTTTTTGTTTCTTTCATGATAGGTGTTATACTCTTTGTATTATGTTTTTCTTTCTATTTCATCTAATTTATTCAATATATTAAATATATTAAATCAACTTCTTCACCAATGACTTTTCTGGATCACTAATATCCATCAATAATTTTTGAAGTTCGAATTCCCATACAACATCTTGTTTATTTTTCACCAAGAACCTTTCATGATCTAAATCTATAATATATATCCATTTAATATCACTACTACAATCAATCTCTGGAGCTTCATTAGTTGGAGATTCTTCAAGGAGCAAATAACCTAAAGATAATGCCTTTTTTAGACAAAGTCCATCTACAGAAAAAAGTCTTCTTAGTAAGAAGGACCATTTTTCTTCTGAAGAGTCATATGTCTTACACATCCAGGTGTAAAATGCTCCTGAGCTACGCCTAATAATGGCTTCAAGGTTTCCTGTCTCATTATCTTTTATATAGATGGAAGAACGACATAACCAAGATTCAAAATAAGGCTCGTCTTGTATGATGAATGTTCGAAAATTATCTACAAATTCTGGTGCAAGTTCTGGATATATTTCATCGCACACAATAATACTATTTACCAATCTTTCACGTAATTCTTCCAAACTAAATCCTTGAAGTTGTCTAAGAAGAGCTTCTCCTAACCCTTTAGGATATGAGTCCCAATGATTGTGGATTATATAATATACTCCTTTATACAAGAAGCAATATAAACCTCGAGTTCCCATATTTGTATGTTTTTTCCCAATTCAAAATTTATATAAAATAGGTAAAATAAATCTATTGAAAATAAAGCCGTGTAACTAGGAAAAATTTTTCAGATCGTCAAGTGCTAAATAAATATATTTTTTACATTTATTCCTATATAAATATGTAAATGATGATTAGAACAATAAACAACAACAATAATGATTATAGTGATGTTATTAAATATTAGTTAAAATAA